TCAGTCAATTGAATACAAGATAGCTTTGTTCTCTCAAAATCATTTTAGCTTCATTTCAGCTCTTGTGTATATTTCACTTGGTATCAGAGCCACTGACTTGCGTCAATGGCGAATCCTTCTAAATCTACTAATGGACTCAACAATTCAAACGAATTGTTGAATCACTCAACAAATCAAACTTCGTCGGCTCTAGCCACCAGCTTACAAGTCATCAATCCCAAACTCACTCAAAGCAATTATCGCTTTTGGAGTTCTCAGGTACTATCTACCATTGGTTCACATGAACTTGAGGATCATCTCCTTGGTAAGATTGCATGTCCCTCACCTCTTATCGTTGTTGATTCTGATATTACTCAAGATTTAGGTCAAATTAGTGGTGAGGTTAAGTCAAGTAATGTCTCTGTTAATGAACAATTGAATCCAGGCTATATATTGTGGAAACGGACTAATAAACTTCTAGTTAGTTGGCTCTTGGCTTCAATTTCTGAAAGTATGTTTGGATATGTATCGAAGTGTAGGAATTCCACTGAAATATGGTTTGCCTTAGAGAATGAATTCATTACTGACTCAAAGGCTAGAGCATTACACTTTAAGAATCTTCTTCAAACTACACAAAAAGGCAATTTAAGTGTAGGTGATTATGTTAAGAAAATGAAAGAAATTGCTGAAAGTTTGTCAGCTAGTGGAATGGTAATTGCGGATGAGGATCTCTTACAGTATGTTCTTGATGGGCTAGGACCTGAATTTGATGCTGTGGTAGTAAATTTAACATCACGTATTGAGTCAAAGTTTGATTCTGTCACACTGCAAGAGGCTCAATTTTTACTGTAGAAGTATGAAATAAGACTTGAAAAATTCAATGCAATTGATTTGTACAACTGTTCAGCACATATAGCCTCAACTGGTACTTTAAACAGTTCACATGGTTCCCCTAGTGACACAAATCATGTTTCCAAACCTGAGGTAGAAGGTTCACAATCTGACAGAGTGCCTAGTTCCCTTTATCCTACTGCACCTACCTTAATATCACTAGGTAATCCTCATTATCCCCTATATCCTCTCTTAGCTACTCCTCCATAATTTGGTCAGAATTTTGGGCAAAGTCTTGGGCAAACTCTATATCATAATAGACCACCTGTTTTTGGAGGGATGTCATATGGTAGGGGTAGAGGTCGAAATTCAGGGAGAGGCAAGTTGATTTGTCAATTGTGTAACAAAGTAGGACATTCTGTTGGTCAGTGTTATCATAGGTACAATTCTGCCTATACTGGAATGTTTCAACCCCCTAACACAAAAACATCACAACAGCCAAGCTCCTTTTATGAGAATTTTCCTCTCCCACAATCCAATAGCCACTTTCACCATAATACTCCTCAGTTGAATAGCACTGGATAGTATACATCTGGCAATCGTCCATATTGTGGATTTCGGGAACTACCTTATGCTCAACAGTCTCATAGTTCTCATTTGGGCAGTCCATCTGATAGATTTAATTCTGGTGTTGCCGTGACTATTGATAATGCTGCAGCTACTGGTTTTGGTGTTTCTAGTCAACAGATGCCAAGCCAAAGCCAAGGTCACTTTGTAAACTCAGCACCTGATTCATAGTATCACCCTTCAACATCTCTTGCTCAGTCCTCTCCTCAATCATGGCAGTTTGCTCTTTCCTCATCCCTCACACCCACTGATCCAATATGGTATATGGACTCGGGAGCAACTGATCATGTTACCTTAGACCTCCATCATCTGAATCTCAGCAAAGGCTATTTTGGAAATGATCAACTTCAAGTAAGTAGTGGTGAGTTTTTCCCTATCTCTCATACTGGCCATTCTGTTATTCCAAGTGCCTTTCATTCTAAGTTTTTATACCTTAAAAACATTCTATGTGTGCCTAAGATAACAAAAAACTTACTTAGCATTTCTAAATTCACTAAAGACAACAATGTTATTGTTGAATTTGACTCTAACTGCTGTGTTGTTAAGGACAAGTACATATGAGCAATTTTACTGCAAGGGGACCTTAAAGGTGGTTTGTATCAGCTGAATTCCTCCTCTACTCAGTCCTTACCTTTCCCTTATTTGTTGTCTGCCTCTTCCTCATCATCTAATTTATCCTTTACCAATACTTCTACTCTTGCTTCACAAGGCTTTCAACATAAGTCAAAACATTGTAGAAATTCATGTACTTCAATTGAGTCTAGTTCTTCAGGTGTTCCCACTAGACCTGATGATCAAGGTCACTTTGATGCCTTTTTTGTGTCACTAACGTCTAATGGTCAAGGTCAATATGACTTCAATAAAAACTATAGTGCTTTTACTAGATCCATTGAGTCTGATACTGGTAATCAGTATGTGTTCAACATAAATAATGCTGATGTAGGCAATGTTCCTAATACTACTCAGTGTTTCTGACCTGTGTTCTACTTCTACCAATGGTAATAAAAGTTCTTGTTCTGATATATGTACTGCTCCCACGCATGTTTCTGACCTGTGTTCTACTTCTACCAATGTTAATACTTGCACATCTACAGCTGAATATTATAATGCACATTCATATGTTTCTGATTTGTGTTCTGCCTCTGCTAATGTTAATAATTGCACACCAATCATTGAGAACTGCACTACACATACACATACTATTACTTCACATTGCTTAACAGTGAGTGTTGATACTAATGGTTATTTACTTTGGCGCAAAAGCTTGGGATGCCCTCACTCACAAGTTCAACATCACATACTAACCAATATGCATATCAAGTTTCCTACAAAACTAAACACTTCACTTAGCTCTCATAATACTTTCTCTGATGCCTGCCAATTAGGCAAATTACATCACAATACTTTTCCAGCTTCACATTCTCATGCCTCAACACCCTTAGAACTAGTGCATAGTGATGTTTGGGGTCCTACCCCTATCACATCCATTGAAGGTTTTAAATACTATGTTCAGTTCCTAGATGACTATAGTAGATTCACATGGTTGTTTCCTCTCAAAACCAAAGCTGAAGTTAGGTCAGTTTTTATAAAATTTCAGCACTTAGCTGAAAGATAGTTTGGATATAAGCTTAAAAGCTTACAGTCTGACTAGGGAGGTGAATATAAGGCTCTCCTACCATACCTAGTTGACCAAGGTATCCAAATTAGGCAATCTTGTGCTTATGTTCACCAACAAAATGGTAGAAGTGAGAGAAAGCATAGGCATGTTGTAGAATCTGGATCAACGTTGCTTGCTCATGGATTCATGCCCCTCCAATACTGGTGGTTAGCTTTTGAAACTGCTGTATGTTTGATAAATAAAATGCCTACTGCCACTCTTTGTAATATGTTCCTTATCAAAAATTATTTAACAAGGTTCCTGTTTATGATGGTTTGAAGGTCTTTGGATGTACTTGTTTTCCCTACATGAGAAGTTACAATAAACATAAGTTTGATTTTCATACCATTAAGAGTATCTTTGTCAGGTATAGTTTGATTCACGAAGGGTACAAGTGTCTAACTCCTGATGGTAAGATTGTAGTTGTGAAATTCAATGAATGTGAGTTCCCTTTTGCTGTTAATTCTCTGCATTCTGTTTTTCAGTCTTCTAACTCTACACTCTCTAATTCAGTTCATAATACTGATCCCTCTACAAACACAAACACTTCATCCTTTCCTTTTCAGTCTGTTCCTTATTCCTTCCAGTCTTCAGCAAACACTGATCCCTCTGCAGTGAATATTACTCCTGACAATCCTGTTTCCAAACATATAGCAGTTGGTAAGAATTCCTCTTCTCTTCACTCTCCTGCTTTCAATTCAAATATATATTCTCCTTTAACACCTGCTTCTACTTATCGTACCAACCCATCTCTACCTGATGATACATCATTACCTACACCTAATAACTCTACTAATAAATGTTCCTCACCCTGTACCAATCCTAGTGGTTCTTTGGAATTCAATCCTGCCACTACTCCACAAATACAAGCTGTTGTTCCTACAAAGCCTACAGATTACTCACTCTCACCATGTCCACTTGTTGTTGATCTTACTTCCTCACAATTTGCTGATGCTTTAGCTGGTTCAAGTCTGGGTGTACAGAATACAGTCTCCTGTCTTACTACCTCTGCCATTGTCAATTTACATCCTATGATCACTAGGTGTAAATCATCCACTCATACCTACTGTCTAGATGACTGTCATTTAACCTTTTCTGCTGAAGAGTTAAGAGTCCCCTGAACTAATTGATGCTGAAACAAACACAGTCTCTGCAGCCGTTAAAAATCCCAAGTGGAAGGCTACTATGCAGTCTGAATTTGATGCCTTTGTCCAAAATAATACTTGGACTCTTGTGCCTTCTTCCTCTGATATGAATATAGCAGGAAACAAGTGGGTTTTTCATACCAAACTCAATGTTGATGGAACACTGCAGAAATATAAGGCTAGGCTAGTTGCTAAGGGGTTTCAACAGACCCCTAGTCTTGATTACTTCGAAACCTTCAGCCTAGTAATCAAACCAGCCACAATATGGATTGTTTTGACTCTTGCAGTAACCCATGGGTGGGATGTGCAACAAATTGATGTTAATAATGCATTCCTCAATGGAGTGTTAACTGACACTGTCTACATGACATAGCCACCTGGTTTTGAGAGTCTAGTCTTTCCTGATGCTGTTTGTAAGTTAAACAAGGCCTTGTATGGTCTTAAGCAAGCCCCTAGAGCTTGGTTTGACAAACTAAAGGCTGCTCTACAGCTCAAAGGTTTTCAGAATTCAGTTTCAGACTCAAGCCTTTTCACTCTTCACCAAAATTCTGGTAATATATATGTCCTGGTCTATGTTGACGATATACTGATTACTGGTTCTGATGAGGTCTTTATTGGTCAGTTGATGAAGGATCTTAATGATCATTTTGCTTTAAAAACTCTTGGCTCCCTTAAGTATTTTCTAGGGCTGGAAGCAACAAGGAATAAGTATTCACCTAAGGTAGTCTAAGTATGCATTTGATTTGTTGGTAAAAACTAAAATGATGGAAGCACATGCTTGTTCTACTCTGATGGCTGTTGGTGTCAAGCTTAGTTCTACAGACAGTGAACCTTTTCAAGATCCTGGTTTATACCGTAGTACTGTAGGGGCCTTACAATATCTCACTTTGACCAGGCCAGATATCAGCTTCACAGTCAATAAGCTAAGCCAATTCTTACAAGCTCCAACGGAGTTGCAATGCCAAGCTTGTAAACGAGTGTTATGGTATATAAAAGGTTCTCTACCTTATGGTGTTCATTTTAAACCAGCAAGCACTCTGCATGTAGAGTGCTATGCTGATGCTGACTGGGTGGTAATTTAGAGGATCGAAGATCAACAAGTGGTTGTTGTGTTTACCTAGGACCGAACTTGATTCAGTGGAGTTCTAGGAAACAAAACGTTGTTGCTCTTTCTTCCACTGAAGCAGAGTACCGAGCTCTTGTTCAAACTGCCACAAAAGTAGCATGTTTACTGAGTTGGGGTTATCTTTTCATACTGTTCCTGTGATATGGTGTGACAATGTTAGTGATGGAGCACTTGCATCCAATCCTGTGTTTCATGCCAGAACAAAACACATTGAGATTGATGCTCATTACATTCGCGAACAAGTTTTGGCAAAGAAGGTAGCTATTCAATATGTTCCTTCCAACTTATAGATTGCTGATCTTCTTACTAAGACACTATCAGCTGCTCATTTTAATGAGTTAAGGTTCAAACTAAATGTGGTATCCCTTGATGATAGCTGCAAATTAGTATAAGGAGTTACTTATAACTCACTTTGGCAGTAAAGAATTAGAGTATGCTACTGTGTTGAGAGTTTGGCAGTGTAGGATCAAAATATGTTTTTGAATTTTGGCCAACTGATATTTTAGAAGTTATGTTGCTGTGTTGAGAGTTTTGGTAGTGCAGAATGTGTTATGAATTTTGCAAACTGATATTTGAGAAGTTATGCTACTGTGTTGGGAGTTTGGCAGTGCAAGATCAAAATGTGTTGAGAATGTGTTGTGTTTTTTTTTTTTTTTTTTTTTTTGGGAAGCTGTATCAAGTGTTGAACTGCTGTATTTTGTATCTGATGTGTATCAAGAGTTAGCAATTCTTATTGGAGTTGTGGATTTTTAATCAGAATTGAGCTATGAGTTGTGTATCAGCCACGAGCTTCTGCATTTGCATGAGACAAGCAGCTTGTAGTAACCAATTTGCCACGAGCTGCTGCATTTGCATGAGACGAGCTGCTTGTAGCAACCAGTTCATCACGAGTTGTTGATGCATGAGACGAGCTGCTTGTAGCAACCAGTTTGCCACCAGCTACTACATTTACATGAGACGAGCAGCTTGTAGCAACCAGTTCGCCACAAGCTGCTGCATTTGCATAAGACAAGGTACTTGTAGCAACCAGTTCGTCATGAGCTACTGATGCATAAGACGAGCTGCTTGTAGCAACCAGTTCATCATGAGCTACTGATGCATGAGACGAGCTGCTTGTAGCAACCAGTTTGCCATGAGCTGCTGCATTTGCATGAGACGAGTTGCTTGTAGCAACTAGTTTGTCATGAGCTGTTTGTTCTGATCGTCTCTCTGCTGGATTATGAATTAAAGTTGACAGTGAAAAGTCAGAACTGAACCTAGGAATGAAGATCCTAAACTAGGTTCAGTTTGAGGGGAGATGTTGATATAAGAGGATGAAAACCAACAGAGTTAACTGGATAATTCCCTGAATACAAAAATTTAGAAACAACATAGTTATTTGAGCTGGAAGGTGCTGAAGCTGAATGATCATGAAAACCAAGAAAGGAAGTGCTCGAAAACTAAACAGGATTTGGTTTGAAGTTGGTTGCAATTAGAGCTTGGGCTGATTTAGTTGATCCTTCATTAGTAAAACTGTTAACTAGAGCAGACTGTGGTTGTTGATTATATGAGGGTTGGTGACTATAAAAAGAGCCATTAAAGCCCTGATATTCCTGATCAAAACAGTGGTAACATTGCAATGCGGAGTGGCCTGTCTTTCCATAAACTTGACACACTAACTTTGGTTTGAAGTATCCTCGACCTCTACCTCTGCCTCTCATCATGTTACTATTAAACTGTGACGTTCCTCTAGGAAAACTTTGAGTATGAACAAATGGTCTGAAATTCGACCCTTGATACCCTTGAAATTCATTGCTTCCAAACACACCTCGCCCTTGATAACCACTGCTTATAGAAGCACCACTATTCTTTGCAAAATGAGTTAAGCTTGGAATAGAGATACCAGTAGGTAAATAATGTTGCGCACCAGTGTCTGGATTGAGAGAATGTGGTATAGTAGGTGTTGCTTTAGTAGCAGTATTCAGAAATTGTGCCGTAGTTGGATTAAGAGCATCACGTTGTCTGGTAGCCAACAAAGCAGATGTTAAATGTTCATGAAAATGCGTCATAGAAAAACTTTGATGTTCCAATCTCATCTCATGCTTATGAAGCATAAACAGAGCTTCTTGAATACTTGTTGCACTACTATTATATGTCAAACTAGCAACAACCGCATCATATTCAGGACCAAGACCGTCTAAAATATACAAGAGTAACTCTTCTTCCCCAAGATTTACTCCACTGGCAACTAATTCAGCTCCAATCTCCTTCATTTTGAGAACATATTCATTCACACTTAAACCATTCTTTTTAGTGCTTTGTAACATATTCCGTAAATGTAATGATCTAGCTTTTGAAAAAGACTGGAAATGTAGCTCTAAAGTATTCCAAATTTCATATGAACTCACACATTTTGCTACATGCCTGAACATGGATTTGGATATTAAAGAAAACAACCAACTAACTAAAGATTGATCTAGTCTTTTCCAATTAAAATACTTAGGGTTTGGTTTCTTTACTACTTCCTCTGAGTCAACAGATTTTTCAACAAGAAACATAGGTGGACAGATACTCTCACCAGTGATGAAGCCATCAAGACCGTGAGATATAAGAGCAGGAAAGATCTGTGACCTCCAGTAGCCATAATTCTTTTCCAGAAGCTTAACTGAAAGTGTGGGAAGTGAAGGATGGGCAAACAGACTGTTTGCATTTGCGTTTCCAGTTTGCTCACCTTCTGATTTTGAAGCAAGATTGGGTAACTTGGGATTGGTTTGAGTCATTTTGACATGTGTCTACTAGAGGTGGAACATTTGGGCCAGGTTAGGCGGGTCAACCCTAACCCATATCGTAACGAAGCGGGTTGAACCCGGACCACCAAGATGCAGTCCGGGTTGACCCTAACCCGGCAGCAACCCCCAAGCGAGCCGGGTTGCAAAATGGCAACCCGCAACCTGGAGGGTTGCTGTTTTGTCTCTTTTGAAAGAGACCCAACAACCCGTCAGGTTGGCTATTGTCAACCCGACAGGTTGATTGTTATGGAATAACGGCCAACCCATCGGGTTGGCAGAAAAAAATAAAAATAAAAAATTTTATTTTATTTTATTTTTTAAATTACCCCTTTACCCTTGAAATATAGCCGTTGGAGGGGTCTTTTTCGTCATTTTTCTTTCCCATTTTTTCCTATAAATTGGCCCTAAACTCTCACATTTTTCTCACAACTCAAATTCTCTCATTCTCTCATATTCTCTAATCTCTAATCTCTCAATTATTCATTTATTCTCTTAATCTCTTTGTTATCAATTTGCTCGTTACTTTAATTTTTATTGTTTTTGCAATTTTTAATTCATATTTCCAATTTCAAATTCCAATTTCCATATTCCAATTCTCTTCTTTTAATTTATTTCCTACATCAATTTTTTTTTTCAACTACAATGGATAGATATTTCTCTCCATCAATACAATGATGAAGGAGAAATACTATCCTAGTCCTAGTCCCGCTGATTTTACTAACATAAATGCAGGAGGAGATTCAAATAGTCTCGCTTTCCCATTCTCAGAATCGTACACCTCAAAATATGCCCCCAATTCCAACAGCTCCCAGTGGTTCTAGAAGTCATCTTTGTAATCGTCATGCGCGCTAACTTCATCTCAAGCGGAGGCGAGATCATCAACTATCGTCGAAAGCGAAGACAAACAACATCAGACATTTGGGCGCATTTCGAGGTAATGGTAATAGTACTTAAAAAGGATGCTAATAACATATTAATCAACATGGAAATAAAGAAAGCAATCAAACTCAAAAAAATATGGGTACTAATTGGCGTTATAATTCTGATATATATAGGGAACAGTTAGCTTTATATATTGCTGCAACTGATCAACCTATTAATATGGCTGAAGATAAGTATTTCGAAGATTTGTTCAAAATTCATTTTTCCAGGATTTAAAAGTTATTCTAAAATTGCAACTAGAAATGATTTAATAAATTGTTTAAAAAAAGAAATTAGAATTAAAAAATAAAATACATACTGTCATGTTAGTGTGGCTCTAACTGCTAATATTAGAGTGATAGAGCTAAACAAGATAATTGTTTGACTAGTCATTATTTTGATAATGAATGTAAATTAAATAAATGTTTATTGGAATTAGATTAATGGATGGTGATCATAGTGGTGAACAAATTAATAAAATTGTTGAAGTTTTAGAAGATCATGATGTTGTTAGTAAAGTGATAAGTTTAACTTTAGATAATGCAAGTTCTAATAGTAAAGCTATAGATTATTTTCAAAGTAATTATCCTTTACATAACAATTTGAAGTTTTTCACCAACGTGTATATGCCATGTTATTAATTTAATTGTGAAAAGTGGTATGAAAACAATTAAGAAAATATTAATAGAATTAGAGATTGTTTAGCTTAGATTACTAGTAGTAATAAAAGAATGCTGAATTTCAAGACGTGTATAAAATCACAATATGTCTCCTAGAACTTTTGCATTAGACATGCCTGTTAGATGGAATAGTACTTATTAATGCTTGATTATGTGTTACCTTATGCTAATATAATTAGTTATTTGTGACAAATAATAGAGGTCCTCATTATTTGGTAGAAAATGATTGGCAAAAGCTAAGTATTTCATTCTTTTCTTAAAACTTTTTACCAATCACTTTACAACTTTCTGGGGTGTATTATCCTACTAGTCCATTGGTAATACATAAAATTATAAAATTTCCGAGTTATTTATAAAAACAAAGACAATGTAATTTTAAATGCACCAATAAAGGCAATGGAAATTTTTTTTTAAATATTGGGAACCCATTCCTTTCTTTTATTGTTTAGGTACTATATTTGATCCTAAAATTAAATCGCAGGTTTAGAAAAAGGTTTTGACAATTTATGTAAAAATTTACAAACCGAAGTATATGCCAATCAAATAGGAGAGGTAAAAAATATACTTTTTGAAGTATATTTCCAGTATAAAAACGGTATGGGAACCCGCAAAGAGGTGAAACATCCAGGGAAGCTGCATCAGAAGAAACAAATAAAGACTTCTACTCTTGGGGTGCAGAATAGGCCGAAGAGAACCCGAATCCGAAGCACAACCTCCTCTTCAGAAGCTCCACCAACAACAACAACTAATGTACTGTCTTCCATGCAATCGCAGAGTAATGAGCTTCAACAATATTTGGAACCCCTGAAAGTTACCAGTAGATCCACAACGAGAGCCACATTGATCTCTTAGACTATTGGAGAGCCAGAAAATGTATTTTTCCGGTATATCAAGACGTGCCTTGGATGTTTTCGCTGTTCCTGTCAACAGTCTCATCGAACAAACATTTAGTGTAAGTGGAAGAATTTTAAATAAAAGGAGGACTAAACTTTCACACAAATGATTGAAGTCCTCACATGTCTTCGAGATTGGGAACGGTCGCGCCATCAAGGTCAATCGAGGTTGTCGACGATAATTTAATAGAATCATTTCAATTTTGTAATATAGATGATACGGATGAGGGAGGTCCTAGTGAACCCCAAAATTGTTGTTTTGTAAATTGTAACTTGTAAATTAATTGTCAATTATTGCACTTTTTTCTTTACCAAGTTTTTGTCCTATGGGTTTTTCTTGGTGAGGTTTTTAACGAGGCAATAATTATTGTAATTTCTTATTTATTTTTAAATAATGAATAATTTAATATTATATTTACAATTTAAGTATTAAAATTGATATATATTTGGAATGTTAACAAAAAAAAAATAATTTAATTTAATTATTGATATTTGAAAGAAATTAACAATTAACTAAAAACAAATACATTTATTATTTATAAATTGTTAATTATTCATTTGAAAAGTTAATTAAACATTAAACTTAAACAAAAATAAACAAAACAAAACAAAATTAAAAAAAAAAAAAAAGCGGGTTAACCGGGCCCAACCCGCGGCCTAACCGACGGGGTAGGATTGGCGGTCCGGGTGGGCCAGCCAATTCTAACATTGGTGGGCCTAACCCGGCCCGCCAATGTTACCGAGCCAGTCAGGACCGACCCGTCATAATAGCAACCCACCGCGGGCTAGGTCGGTTGGGTCAGGCTGGGGGGGCGGGTTGCTTTTTACCTTTAGTGTTACAGCTCTGATACCATGAAGATTATGGTGACAAACGAGAAAAAACGAAAGAGAGAAATCAGAGAAAACATGTGATACCAAAAAGCTGAAAAAGTGAAATCTGTATTTTTTGCATGAAGAGTTAGTTACATGTCAGTACAGCTGTTATTATATAACATATCACAATGCAAACGTATTAAGGAACATTTTAATACTTACAACACACCCCCACTCTAGGATACTAATAAGAAGAATGTTGAGATAGTTTTAGCTTTTGTTTAATGATTTCTTCTTCCAAATTCGTTTTTACCTTCTCTCTAAACTCTTTTCGCTTATTGCTCTTCTTCTTTTTTTTATTTTTTTATTTTTTTTAAAGACAAAAGGTATTTTTTCTTGTAATATTTGACAAGAGACTTTACTAGTAACACATGCTATTATAAATATTGTACTTGATTAAAGCTACAAATGACACCTTTACGACACACCCACATTGAGCAATGGTCTGCATTGTAATCACAATCAATTTTTTGAGTGAGAGAGAAAATAAAAAATCTATTTCAAATGATAATTATTAAAATAGAAAAATGGTTGATAAAACAATGGTTTAAATTTATAAAAGAAAAATTTCTCTCTATCAATTAGAAACACAATCATATAGTAATTATGTATCGAATAATTTCACTATATTAACATAATAAAGTAGTAAAATTATCCCATATAAAATTTTCTATAATATCAAAATAAGTTTGACAAAACCATCACTGGTTGACTTGCTGGTAAAAAAAGCCAAAAAGGATCTAAGTTTATTTGGTCTTTCAAGTTCAAGTTAACAGGGATAACCATTAGAGTTTATATCTGATCGGTAGTTTCTGAGTCCTCAAGGGATTAGTTGAGGACAAATCATAAAAAAATAAGAAAATAAAAAAAGTAAGTTCCGTTGGAAAGATGTAAGAGATGTCAAACAGTAATGTGGCTCCTAAGTCTTTGATAGGGTTGAGGGCGGCTTGGGAGAGAAGGGTTGAGGCTTTTAATTAATTCCCATCGTCTTCCTTCCATTCCTCAAGTTATTTAAGTTGAAGATAAAGAATCCCCACACGAGAGGCAATTTCCTCGTCTTCACCTGGTTCGATGCTTTAACTTTACGCAACAAAAACCAATTCGGTGGCCATCTTCATCTTCTGATAGTGTTGACCGCACCTTTGGTGAGAGGGATTCTTATACAAAGAAATTGATGCATACAAAGATGTAAAACAGCAATGTGACTCCTAAGCTTTGATAGGGTGAGGGCAGGGCGGGAAGGTTTTTAATTAATTCCTATCCCTAACGCCTATCATCTTATATTTTGACTCTCATTCTTCCTTCCATTCCTCATAAATTGACGATTAAGAATGGAATCCCGACACAGAAGGTAATTTCAACTTCACCTTGTTTTCCATTTAAAAATGAGAAATCAATCTGAAAATAAAAAAATTATCAAGATAATTTGGCTTAAATACAATAAAACTTTTATATAGTGATACTTTATATCCGAATAACCTCTATATAGTCATAAAAAATTTTAATCCCAACTTGGGATAATTATAAATGAGAATAAACTTTACATCGTAATCAGTTATAATTTTTCTAAATCTCGTCTTACAAAAATTGTCTCCACATAGTAATAATTATATGTATATTGGAAAAAAAAAATATGTTATGTTATATTAAAGGTTTAAGATAAAATAAAAAATATTTATCAAAAGTGTTTGGGACAATGATTTATACTTTAGAGTTATTATCACATCTTTTAACTTACGAGTATATAATAACTCACTAACATAGACATCTTCTTATTTAAGCGAAAAGATTTCTAGCTTCTCAAGCATATTCAGAGTTTCTTGGTACGAAACTTTTTGTAATTTCGTACTATCATCCTCAGGATTATTTTCTTCCTCTTCTTGTCTAATTACAGCAATGACTATTAAAACAATGAATTGAAATCCTAATACATACTACTAAAAGGAGAATTATAAAATAAGAAATCAAAACAATAATTTTTGTAATTACACCTCTATTAAATTATAATCTCCTTATAGTAATAAATTGATTTGATCCCACCATTATGATTATAGAGGAGTTTTACTGTATGTCAATTAGAATTCACTATCAGCAGCATGTAATATTAATGTTCTAAATAAAAATCACTATCATATTATTGAAATTATAACATAATAATGTGCTATAACATTATTTCTTTCCAAATATATGTATGACCAGGGGTGTTCAAGACAGTTTACGCGTACTTCAACTAGTTTTTCGGGACCCTAGAACTATCACTGGGTAAAAGCTCTAGAATTTACCCCTATTAGCAACCGTGGGGACTTGGACTGGATAGAATATGTTAAATCCTGCTCTTTCTCTTTTACCGCAAAAAAGACTCGAACTTGAGAGATTATGTTAGATCCTTCTCTTGGGAGGCCATGTTAGATATCTTCTCGATATTTCATTTTAAAGAAGAAAAAAACTTCATTCCTATAAAACGTTAAACAGAAATATTTAGAATTTTCAATTTATTATCATTATCTTACATTAAAAGTGAATATTATATTGAAAAACCTAATCCATATCTTCAAAATATTTGCGCCGTGACTATGTTAAAAGAACATAAATCGAATAGTTAATGTTAATCTATTTTGTTTATATATTCAATAAAAATAAAAATTAAAAATTCTATACAATTAGAGGAATGGAACAGATTACAAACTTGGAACATTTTGTCATCAAATATCATATTTGCAAATGTCTTTAGCTCTTAAAGCATTAAGAATTGAAGTAAATATGTCATCTCTATCGTCACCCAATCAAATTGTTATCAAATATAATTAATTTTTTTTGGAGAAGTGGTCTTTATTAATTCTGAAATTAATATGATAAAAGGGTGCATTCTTTTACCTGTGTTCGGAAACGAAACTCGGTAACTATTTCAATGTCTAATAATTCTGGAAAAGAGAAACGTTCCATGCCACAACTTTCAAAAAAAAATATATATATATATAGGGTTACCTTTCTTCTCTTTCCTACGCTACGCTACACTACTTAAAATATTTAATTAACTGTGAAGTTTTGAGTCATAGTAACAAGCAACAGAGCTCTGGATTTTGCTATAAATATTAATTAACTGTGAAGGTCCATGCATCTTCTGTATTACTTGTGCCCCAAATTTCACCGACAGACTTTGCATATTTGCATGTATGGACTCCATTTTCGCACCTGCAGCCATGTTCCCCATTTCTCTTATTATTTTCTTCTTATCTTTGCCTTCTGTTCTTCATTCTCTCAACTATGTAAAGCTGCCACTCCCTTTGTTCGCAGTAGGCCCTGAGTCTTCTGCTTTTGATGCTGCTGGTGCTGGCCCTTACACTGGTGTTGCCGATGGCAGAATTCTCAAATATGTCAATCCGAGTGTTGGTTTTGTAGATTATGGTGTCACTTCACCCAACAGGTAATCAAAACCACAATATATATTTTAATCATATATTCATGTTTATATATGCATATATAGTAAACCTGCTGTACTGAGGATTGGGTTTGGATGATTTGATCAAAATTTAATTGAAGTGTTGTGGGATTCTTCTAGCAAGCTTAATAACTCCTGTTATTTATTTTAACTTTATAACACTAATTATATATATCCATAATTACCCAGCTTTTTCACTAAGAAATAATTAATAAAAAACTTCATAAAACTTATCCCTCTTTACACTTGTTTTGTAATGCGTACGTTACTAAACTGAATGAATCTGTCCTTTGAAGTTGCAATGAAATCCCTTTCATGATAACTTGGTTAATTTAGCCTCCATTCAGCCATTGAAATTCACAACATTTAATCCTTTCATTTCCATCAACAACTTTTACAGAGTATAAATTTTTTTTAACCTTAACCATGCTTCAGGTCCAAGGCACTGTGTGTTGGCTACAGCATCCCAGCTCTAGGACCTACATGTGGGAGGCCACTAGGTTTGGGATTCAACAACTTAACAGGAGACCTCTACATCGCTGATGCTTATCTCGGCCTTCTGGTGTTGCCGAAAAATCAGACAATTGCAACACAACTTGCCACAAGTGCAAACGGGGTACCCTTTCGCTCTCCCGATGGATTGGACGTTGATCCTGTAACTGGAGATGTGTATTTTACAGATGCCAGTGCTGTTTACCGAATAAGGCACATTTCTCTTATTTAGTTATGGTTTTTACAATCAACTGAAGAACAAAAGTTGAAATACTCTCTCTTATTTTGCAGTCAAATTCTACTTGCAATTGCCAAAAACGATTCAACAGGAAGATTGTTAAAGTATGACATTAAAACCAAACAGGTTACTGTGTTACTTAAGGGGCTTTCAGGTCCTGCGGGGACTGCTGTCAGTCCTGATGGCACGTTCGTTCTTGTGACTGAATTTATTGGGAAAAGAATTCAGAAGTATTGGCTTAAAGGTCCAAAAGCTAACACAGCTGAAGTTCTCATCACCTTCAAAGGGAGGCCAGACAACATTAAGAGGAATCGGGGCGGAGATTTTTGGGTGGCGGTGAACCAAGAAACAATTATTCCACTAGTTATGAAACCTGAGGGAATAAGACTCGATGCAAATGGAACTGTTAAGGAATCACGGCCGATAAATCTCCAATACGGAACTACATTGGTCAGTGAAGTTCAGGAGTTCTCTGGAGCACTTTACATAGGATCAATGTATACCAATTTCATTGGCGTGTACAAGTAGAAGGGGTCATGACTGGCATGTATCGGCATACTATTTAATAAGGCTTTCAATAATATTATCTCAGGATGGTCTTGTTTACAGGCCTCAGAAAAAAACGGATAATAATAATAATAGTCACGATTTTTGCTGCCGATAGATTCATCCAAATTAAGTTGTAATATTACCTGTTACTTCAAATTAATTTAAACCCTCTCTGCTCTAGTTCATTGTATATCTTCTGTTCTTCTAGCTTTCAAATATCATTCATTATTTTACGAAGTTTGGATGCAGTTCTTACCATCTCTGCTTGAAGCAGTTGTTGAGAATATGTTGTATCAACGACAATACAAACTGTGCAGTAATCAATTAACATTTTATTCATCAGCAAACTTCAGCAGATATTATCAAGAAAGTTGACCAAGTAAAGCTAGTACAGAGACTTGCATCTCTAAAGGTTGAATTTTATATATAGTATTCAGTAGGCATCATAGCTGTCTCAGCACATGAATTACAAGTTCACCACCTTAAAGGTGAGTTTTGGATAACAATTAATGCAGTAGCAGCACCTTCAGGACAAAGGCTATAGAGAAGATGGCAGGATTTTGCAGACATTGACCTTGAACTACGTACTATGATTGTACTTACATAATCATTACCCAAAGTTCAAGAATTGTGAGTGGCAACTCTATCCATTATCAAACCCTTTCAGTTCCTTCAAAAAAAAGTGATCATTCTGATAATTTTAAACTCAAAGTAACCACTAAAAACTTAAACAAGCCTGTAAAATTCTGATATTTTGCTGGAAATGTAGCAGTTTGTTAAGCTGTTTTTAATCTGTTCTGGCGCCAAAAGGGAACTGCAATCTGCTGTCTGTTTGTTTTGTTGGGCAGCTGTATTTGATTGATTTTGTGATGGTTTAGGTGTGTACAGCCAGGTTATATGGGATTTTTCCATAATTGTTGTTATAGTAGGTCTTAATGTATGGTTTTGGATTAATGTTGTATAAAATATTCCTGCAAAGTGGTTGTTAACAGGGGATATTTTGCTTTATTTGTTTTGTTGTAAAACTCAGTTAAGTGTGTGAAAGCAGTTACAACTTTCTCTCCATTCTTTTGACCATTTTCTTTTCTTAGTATTCTCTGGCATTAGCAGCAAAAAAATGGTATCAGAGCATGGTCACTTGACCTGAAAAATCTGAAGCCTTTTCTCCTTCTTGATTAGCTTATCCATATCTCTGAAAAACTCTTCTGTATCAGACATTTTTCTTGAATTTATGGCCACTCAAACAGCTTCTCTTTTACCTCCTGTCTTCAATGGTGAGCATTATCATATATGGGCTGTCAAAATGAAGGTATATCTTTAGGGTTAAGGACTCTGGCAGTACGTAGAGGAAGAGAAACAACCCTCTCAGTTGGGACCAAATCTCACACTAAACCAAATCCGATTGCATGAAGAAGAAGCTTCAAAGGCTCAAAGAGCCTTGTCCCACATTCACTCAACTGTCACAAACCTTGTTTTTTTTTTCCTTTTCTGTTTTGGTGGTCGTCATCAACTCACCAGAGCATTAAATAGTGACAACTGTCAACTCGTCGACAATAGTCAACTCATATGTTATCTCCTTTAATGTTTCTTTATTTCGACAATTTGTTTTATGCCCGGGTTAAAAACATAGAGGTATGATATAATAACAAAAATTCTCATGAGGTTTCTAACATAACAAAAATCCCTCTACCATTAACAAACTATTAAAATTTACTTTATTATGAGTTAGTACATATTATCAAATTATCTCCCTATTATTTGTTTTAATACCTAAAACTTAACAAAAGGAAGATCTATACTTTTTTGAAATATCAGGGGGAGTTTTGTTATTTTATTTTAGCTCAGGAGAATTAAAGTCATTAACTCTTTATACTTTTATTTATAAAGTTGTCCAGGTTAGCTCAGATCTTAACTTGTGTGGTGGAGTATTGGTTGAAATCTTCAGCTTAATAACCCGCACAAATTTAAAGACAACAAGTGAGAAAGTCTAGTTGTAGATATGTAATTTTCTGATATTTTTGTCTAGAAAACAAGTATAAAACAATTAAATGATGAGAAGTGAAGATTATTGATGAAAAACCGGAAAAGGGAACAAAGAGAGAAATCAGAGAAAACACGTGATACAAAAAGCTGAAAAAGTGAAATCTGTATTTTTTGCATGAAGAGTTAGTTACATGTCAGTACAGCTGTTATTATATAACAGATCAAAACACAATGTATTAAGGAACATTTTAATACTTACAAACAAACCCCCACTCTATTATACTTAATATTCCCTCTTAAACTGAGCTCTCTCAATATCTGAAAACATTCCAAACCTAGCACTTACTCTACTATACTCAATATTCCCTCTTAAACTAAGCTTTCTCTCAATCTCTGAAAACTTTTCTGCCAAAACAAAAACCAAAAAAAAAAAACTTCACATCTGCACTGCTGCATTCCATAAGAACTGCACATAAGAACTTCACCAAAAAAAAAACTGCACATAAGAACTTCACATTTGCACTGCTGCATTCCATAAGAACTGCACATAAGAACTTCACATCTGCACTGCTGCATTCTGAATTTTCCAGAACATTACAGTAACATACCAGAAAAAAACTGTACATTTGCACTGCATTTTGAATTTCCATACCACTACACTTTTCCAGAATACTACAGTAACACATTTCCAGATTACATCAGACAAACTTTCTGACTTTCCAGACCACTAAGAATTTTCCAGAATACTACAGTAACATATTTCCAGATCACTACGGATTACTACAGTAACATATTTCCAGATTACTACTGATTTCCAGATCACTACAATACCTCACCAGAAAAACTGCAGATATGTACTGCATTCTGAATTTCCAGATTACTACAGTACCTCACCAACTTTATCAATTACTACAGTACCTCACTGCCTTTACTACTTATTTTCACGTCTGCATACTCCATTGCTTCACTACTGCATATAAATGAATATCTTCCCTTTTCACATCTGCATAATCCAGGTAACACATTAATCACTTCCATCATGTACTAACACCATTTGCTTCACCATAATTACTAGATAATAGTTCAGGCACAACATTAAGTTTTTCCTTCAGCATGTTAAATCTGGCAGCAGGCAAAGCTTTGGTGAGCAAGTCTGCTTTTTGATATTCAGAAGCTACGTATTGAACATGCATGACCTTTTTCATAACCAACTCTCTAACAAAGTGTACATCAATTTCAATGTGCTTCGTCCTGGCATGAAAAACTGGGTTGGAAGAGAGTGCTCCTACGCTCATGTTATCACACCAAATAACTAGCACATTCTGGGCGTGAATTCCCAGCTCTTTAAACAGATTCTGAATCCATACTAACTCAGTGGTTGTTTGACTAAGGGATCTATACTCAGCTTCAGTAGAGGATAAGGATACAACCTTCTGTTTTCTAAAGGACCACTGTACTAGATTCCCACCAAGAAAGACAGCATAGCCACTGGTAGACTTCCTGTCTGTAACATCTCCAGCCCAGTCAGCGTCTGCAAAAGCTTCTAAGGTGAGAGATCTGTGTTTGTTAAAGATCAAACCATGATGAAGAGTGCCATTTACATATATGAGAATTCGTTTACAGGCTGTCCAGTGTACTTCTGTTGGCTGCTGCAAGAATTGGCTGAGTTTATTAACTGCAAACGCCAAGTCAGGCCTGGACAATGTTAAATATTGAAAACCACCTATAATACTTCTGTACAGAGTAGGTTGATCAAACACCTTACTCTCTTCTTTTCCAAGTTTCAAACCAGTAGCCATAGGAGTGGTACATGGTTTTGAGTCTGCCATACCTGCTTTGACAAGTAAATCCTGAGCATACTTGGTCTGTGAGAGTAGTAATCCAGTATCACTGCACTGCACTTCAAAACCAAGAAAATATTGTACTTCACCAAGATTCTTGAGCGAAAATCTGCTATTTAAATCATCTACTAATTGAGATATAAGCAAGTTATCATTCCCTGTGACAAGAATGTCATCCACGTAAACCAGAAAATACATCACCTTAGAGTCACATATATAGTAGAACAAGCTTACATTGGACACAGAATTTTCAAAACCCCATTCAAGCAACGTAGTCTTTAGTTTATCAAACCATGCGCGAAGGGCTTGCTTGATCCCATACAGGGCCTTATTCAACCGACATACTTGTTGTAACCTCTTTCGCTGAGAAGCATCATAATATCCTTCCGGAGGAACCATAAACATAGTCTCTGTTAAGTCTCCATTCAAGAACGCATTGTTCACGTCTAACTGTTGAATTTTCCAGTTGTGATGAATAGCCAAGGACAGCATTATTCGAATAGTAGCTGCTTTGATGACTGGTGAGAAGGTATCGAAGTAATCTAGGCCAAGTGTTTGCTGGAAGCCTTTGGCAACTAGCCTGGCTTTGTATTTCTGCAGGGAGCCATCTAAATTCAACTTTGTTTTAAACACCCATTTGCTTCCAACAATATTCATCCCATCTTCATGAGGAACAAGATCCCATGTGTTGTTCTTTAACAAGGCTTGATACTCAACATCCATAGCTTGCTTCCATTCGGGACTAAGCAAGGCTTCAGTCATAGTTTTTGGTTCTGAGAGAATATTAGTAGTTGTCAGAAAAGCTCTTGGATGAAGTGAACCAGTTTTTGACCGAGTGATCATAGGGTGAGTGTTGAGAGCTGAGTCATGAGATCCTGGGTTCGAAGAATAGGGAAGTACAACTTCCAACTGAACTCTTGGATGGTCTGAAGCTGGAGGAGAAGCTAAAGGAGAGGAGCTAGGCAGACACTCTGTGCAAGGATTATTCTGAGATTCTGGATTCACACCAGATGATTCTTGTGCAGACAGAGGTGACAAGCCAGAGTGACCAGTAGCCATGGAGATTGGATTATCCACTAGTGCCTGGTGTATAGGTGTATTAGTAGTCACAGTAGGTGTCTTCGATTGACTATGAGATAACAGTGGTGCATGATCAGAAATGACATTAGTATGGGACGAATTGGCACCTGAGTTCAAAACAGAGTAACAGTCAGTAGAACAAAAATCAGTATCCTTTGAGACAGACTTTGGAAGAATCCACGAAGATGCAGGTGAGTTGATACAACTTTCACTCGAAGAGGTTGAGTTCTTTAAAGATATAGGCTGATTAAAACCATATTTGAATGGAAAATCAGTCTCATGAAACTTCACTTGTTTAACGAGATATACTCTTCCAGTAGAAGCAAGACACAAGTAACCTTTTTGAGAGAGGCTATACCCCAAGAAGGCACATTTGTCCGTGTGGTAGGAGAGTTTGTGCTTGTTATAAGGACGAAGATAAGGGTAGCAACTGCACCCAAAAACTTTCAGATCAGTGTAATTAGGTTCTTGATGAAACAAGGTGAAGTAAGGGGATACAAAATCAAGAGCTGAGTTAGGCAGTCTGTTCAACAAATACGTGGTTGTGCTGAAAGCTGCCCACCAATATTTCAACGGCATGCCAGCATGAGCCAACAACTATAATCCAAATTCGGTAATAGATCTGTGCTTCCTTTCAGCCCTACCATTCTGTTGATGTAAATACGGACAGGAATGCCTGAACATAATACCATGTTTCTGGAAATAAAAAAGCAAAACCTCTATACTCTCCACCCCAATCAGTTTGCAAACACTTTATTTTAGAATCCAATTGTCTTTCTACGAAACAATGAAACTGTACAAAAGCAGTATAAGCCTCAGATTTAAGTTTCAACGGATAAATCCAAGTAAATCTGCTAAAATCATCAACAAATATGACATAGTATTTATATCCTTCACAAGAGTTTACAGGAGTTGGACCCCATAGATCCGAATGTATTATTTCTAAAGGAGCTTCAGCTCTAGAATCTGACATAGGAAAATGACATTGTTGCAGCTTCCCGTACTGACATGCTTCACAAAAGAAGTTGTTATTACTAGACAGAGACGCCTTTACATTTAGCTTATTCAAGACAACATGAAGTGTTCTACTATTAGGGTAGCCTAATCTTGCATGCCACAACGTGAGCAAGTCTAGATTTGCATTATGACTAAGACATTTATTTGAAGCTGATACGATAGTAGGAAAAACAGTAACTACTTTTGAATTGGGAGGACAATGATTTCCAGAGAACTCCTTTGAGACAGATGGTAACTTTGCAGCAGCAGGAGCAGCAGGACAAGAGATAGACTTCATGCTTGGATTAACAGGCTTTGTCAACTCAAGATGATATAAGCCATCATTTACTGTGCCCCGAAGCAATATATCTTTACTGCTTTTGTCCTTTATCAAGCAATGATCAGAGTGAAATTCAACAATCACATTGTTATCCTTAGTGATTTGTGATATACTCAGCAAATTTTTTGCAATTTGTGGAACACAAAGAATATTTCTAAGATGAATTAATCTATTGTTATCAAATAAAGATACCATCAGCATACCTGTATGAGTAATGGGAATGGATTCTCCATTACCAACTTGTACCTTAGAGCCTCCTGGATAGGGAGATTTAAGCACCAGATTTGAGCCATCAGCCACCATATGATTTGATGCATTAGAGTCCATAAACCAGGACTGATCACGAATAGTATGTGCAGTGGTTACTGCCTGATACACAGAGCCAGCTTGTAGTGATGGATGACCGACAGGATTGGGAGAAATTGTTGACGTAACACCTGTTGATATAAGAGGATGAAAGTGCAAAGTTGTTAAGTGATTGGATGCTTTTGATAATAGGCCAAAGTGGTGTCGTTTTAGGTAGAAATTTAAGTAGAACTTTCAGCTCACTTTCACTTTACTCTTTTCTCTGTATCAGTATAAAAAGAACAGTGTTCTTTCTCATTTGTATCGAAACTCAGTCAATTGAATATAAGATAGCTTTGTTCTCTCAAATTCATTTTAGCTTCATTTCAGCTCTTGTGTATATTTCACTTGGTATCAGAGCCACTGACTTGCGTCAATGGCGAATCCTTCTAAATCTACTAATGGACTCAACAATTCAAATGAATTGTTGAATCACTCAGCAAATCAAACTTCGTCGGCTCTAGCCACCAACTTATAAGTCATCAATCCCAAACTCACTCAAAGCAATTATCGCTTTTGGAGTTCTCAGGTACTATCTACCGTTGGTTCACACGAACTTGAGGATCATCTCCTTGGTAAGATTGCATGTCCCTCACCTCTTATCGTTGTTAATTCTGATATTACTCAAGATTTAGGTCAAATTAGTGGTGAGGTTAAGTCAAGTAATGTCTCTGTTAATGAACAATTGAATCCATCTTTTATATTGTGGACACGAACTGATAAATTTCTTGTTAGTTGGCTCTTGGCTTCAATTTCCGAAAGTATGTGTGGATATGTATGGAAGTGTAGGAATTCCACTGAAATATGGTTTGCCTTAGAGAATGAATTCATTACTAACTCAAAGGCTAGAGCATTACACTTTAAGAATCTTCTTCAAACTACACAAAAAGGCAATTTAAGTGTAGGTGATTATGTTAAGAAAATGAAAGAAATTGCTGAAAATTTGTCAGCTAGTGGAATGGTAATTGCGGATGAGGATCTCTTACAGTATGTTCTTGATGGGCTAGGACCTAAATTTGATGCTGTGGTAGTAAATTTAACATCACGTATTGAGTCAAAGTTTGATTCTGTCACACTGCAAGAGGCTCAATTTTTACTGCAGAAGTATGAAATAAGACTTGAAAAATTCAATGCAATTGATTTGTACAACTGTTCAGCACATATAGCCTCAACTGGTACTTTAAACACTTCACATGGTTCCCCTAGTGACACAAATCATGTTTCCAAACCTGAGGTAGAAGGTTAACAATCTGACAGAGTGCCTAGTTCCCTTTATCCTACTGCACCTACCTTAATATCACTAGGTAATCCTCATTATCCCCAATATCCTCTCTTAGCTACCCCTCAACAGTTTGGTCAGAATTTTGGGCAGAGTCTTGGGCAAACTCTATATCATAACAGACCACCTATTTTTGGAGGGATGTCATATGGTAGGGGTAGAGGTCGAAATTCGGGGAGAGGCAAGTTGATTTGTCAATTGTGTAACAAAGTAGGACATTCTGCTGGTCAGTGTTATCATAGGTACAATTCTGCCTATACTGGAATGCTTTAACCCCCTACAACAAACACATCACAATAGCCAAGCTCCTTTTATGAGAATTTTCCTCTCCCACGATCCAATAGCCACTTTCACCATAATACTCCTTAGTTGAACAGCACTGGACAGTATACATCTGGCAATCGTCCATATAGTGGATTTGGGGAACTACCTTATGCTCAACAGTCTCATAGTTCTCATTTGGGCACTCCATCTGATAGATTTAATTCTGGTGTTGCCGTGACTGTTGATAATGCTACAGCTATTGGTTTTGGTGTTCCTAGTCAACAGATGCCAAGCCAAAGGCAAGCTCACTTTGTAAACTCAGCACCTGATTCACAGTATCACCCTTTAACATCTCCTGCTCAATCCTCTCCTCAATCACAGCAATTTGCTCTTGCCTCATCCCTCGCACCTACTGATCCAATATGGTATATGGACTCGGGAGCAACTGATCATGTTATCTCAGACCTCCATCATCTGAATCTTAGCAAAGGCTATTCTGGAAAGGATCAACTTCAAGTAGGTAGTGGTGAGTTTCTCCTTATCTCTCATATTGGCCATTCTGTTATTCCAAGTGCCTTTCATTCTAAGTGTTTACACCTTAAAAACATTATATGTGTGCCTAAGATAAAAAAAACTTACTTAGCATTTCTAAATTCACTAAAGACAACAATGTTATTGTTGAATTTGACTCTAACTGCTGTGTTGTTAAGGACAAGTACACAGGAGCAATTTTACTGTAAGGGGACCTTAAAGGTAGTTTGTATCAGCTGAATTCCTCCTCTACTCAGTCCTTACATTTCCCCCATTTGTTGTCTGCCCCTGCCTCATCATCTAATGTAACCTCTACCAATACTCCTGCTCTTGCTTCACAAGGCTTTCAACATCAGTCAAAACATTGTAGAAATTCATTTACTTCAATTGAGTCTAGTTTTTCAGGTGTTTCCACTAGACCCGATGATCAAGGTCACTTTGATGCCTCTTTTGTGTCAATAATGTCTAATGGTTAGGGTCAATATGACTTCAATAAAAACTATAGTGCTTCTACTAGATCCATTGAGTCTGATACTGGTAATCAGTATGTGTGCAACATAAATAATGCTGATGTAGGCAATGTTCCTAATACTACTCAGTGTACTTCATCTCTGACTAATAAAAGCTCTTTCTCTGATATATGTACTGGTCCCACGCATGTTTCTGATCTGTGTTCTACTTCTACTAATGTTAATACTTGCACATCTACAACTGAATATTATAATGCACATTCATATGTTTCTGATTTGTGTTCTACCTCTGCTAATGTTAATAATTGCACACCAATCATTGAGAACTACACTACATATACACATACTATTACTCCACATTGCTTAACAGTGAGTGTTGATACTGATGGTTATTTACTCTGGCACAAAAGGTTGGGACACCCTCACTCACAAGTTCAACATCACATACTAACCAATATGCATATCAAGTTTCCTACAAAACTAAACACTTCACTTGGCTCTCATAATACTTTCTGTGATGCCTGCCAATTAGGCAAATTACATCACAATACTTTTCCAGCTTCACATTCTCATGCCTCAGCACCCTTAAAACTAGTGCATAGTGATGTTTGGGGTCCTGCCCCTATCACATCCATTGAAGGTTTTAAATACTATGTTCAGTTCCTAGATGACTATAGTAGATTCACATGGTTGTTTCCTCTCAAAACCAAAGCTGAAGTTAGGTCAGTTTTTATAAAATTTCAGCACTTAGCTGAAAGACAGTTTGGATATAAGCTTAAAAGCTTACAGTCTGACCAGGGAGGTGAATATAAGGCTCTCCTACCATACCTAGTTGACCAAGGTATCCAAATTAAGCAATCTTGTGCTTATGTTCACTAATAAAATGGTAGAAGTGAGAGAAAACATAGGCATGTTGTAGAATCTGGATTAACGTTGCTTGCTCATGCATCCATGCCCCTCCAATACTGGTGGTTAGCTTTTGAAACTGTTGTATATTTGATAAATAGAATGCCTACTGCCACTCTTTGTAATATGTCCCCTTTTAAAAAATTATTTAACAAGGTCCTTGTTTATGATGGTTTGAAGGTCTTTGGATGTACCTGTTTCCTTACATGGAGAAGTTACAATAAACATAAGTTTGATTTTCATACCATTAAGAGTATCTTTGTCGAGTATAACTTGATTCACAAAGGGTACAAGTGTCTAACTCTTGATGGTAAGATTATAGTTACTCCTAGTGTGAAATTCAATGAATATGAGTTCCTTTTTGCTGTTAATTCTCTGCATCCTGTTTTTCAGTCTTCTAACTCTACACTCTCTAATTCAGTTCATAATACTGATCCTTCTACAAACACAAACACTTCATCCTTTCCTTTTCAGTTAGTTCCTTATTCCTTCCAGACTTCAGCAACCATTGATCCCTCTGCAGTGAATATTACTATTGACAATCCTATTTCCGAACATACAGCAGTTGGTAAGAATTCCTCTTCTCTTCACCCTCCTGCTTTCAATTCAAATATATATTCTCCTTTAATACCTGCTTCTACTTATTGTACCAACCTATCTCTACCTAATGATACATCATTACCTACACCTAATAACTCTACTAATAAATGTTCCTCACCATGTACCAATCCTGGTGTTTCTTTGGAATTCAATCCTGCCACTACTCCACAAATACAAGTTGCTATTCTTACAAAGCCTACAGATTGCTCACTCTCACCATGTCCACTTGTTGTTGATCTTACTTCCTCACAATTTGCTGATGCTTCAGCTGGTTCAAGTCTGGGTGTACAGAATACAGTCTCCTGTCCTATTACCTCTGCCACTGTCAATTTACACCCTATGATCACTAGGTCTAAATCAGCCACTCATACCTACTGTCCAGATGATTGTCATTTAGCCTTTTCTGCTGAAGAGTTAGAGTCCCCTGAACCGATTGAAGCTGAACCAAACACAGTCTCTGTAGCCCTTAAAAATCCCAAGTGGAAGGCTGCTATGCGTCTGAATTTGATGCCCTTGTCCAAAATAATACTTGGACTCTTGTGCCTTCTTCCTCTGATATGAATATAATAGGAAACAAGTGGGTTTTTCGTACCAAACTCAATGATGATGGAACACTGCAGAAATATAAGGCTAGGCTAGTTGCTAAGGGGTTTCAACAGACCACTGGTCTTGATTACTTCAAAACCTTCAGCCCAGTAATCAAACCAGCCATAATATGGATTGTTTTGACTCTTGCAGTAACCCATGGGTGGGATGTGCAACAAATTGATGTTAATAATGCATTCCTTAATGGAGTGTTAACTGAAACTGTCTACATGACACAGCCACCTAGTTTTGAGAGTCCTGTCTTTCCTGATGCTGTTTGTAAGTTAAACAAGGCCTTGTATGGTCTTAAGCAAGCCCCTAGAGCTTGGTTTGACAAACTGAATGCTGCTCTACAGCTCAAAGGTTTTTAGAATTCAGTTTCAGACTCAAGCCTTTTCACTCTTCACCAAAATTTTGGTAATATATATGTCCTGGTCTATGTTGACGATATACTGATTACTGGTTCTGATGAGGTCTTTATTGCTCAGTTGATGAAAGATCTTAATGATCATTTTGCTTTAAAAACTATTGGCTCCCTTAAGTATTTTCTAGGGCCGGAAGCAACAAGGAATCAAATGGTATTCACCTGAGGTAGTCTAAGTATGCATCTGATTTGTTGGTAAAAACTAAAATGATGGAAGCACGTGCTTGTTCCACTCCGATGGCTGTTGGTGTCAAGCTTAGTTCTACAGACAGTGAACTTTTTCAAGATCCTGGTTTATACCGCAGTACTGTAGGGGCCTTACAATATCTCACTTTGACCAGGCCAGACATCAACTTCATAGTGAATAAGCTAAGCCAATTCTTACAAGCTCCAACGGAGTTGCAATGGCAAGCTTGTAAACGGGTGTTACGGTATATAAAAGGTTTTCTGCCTTATGGTCTTCATTTTAAACCAGCAAGCACTCTGCATGTAGAGTGCTATGCTGATGCTGACTGGGGTGGTAATTTAGAGGATCGAAGATCAACAAGTGATTGTTATGTTTACCTAGGACCGAACTTGATTCAGTGGAGTTCTAGGAAACAGAAAGTTGTTGCTCTTTCTTCCACTGAAGTAGAGTACCGAGCTCTTGTTCAAACTGCCATAGAAGTAGCATGGTTACAGAGTATGTTTACTGAGTTGGGGTTATCTTTTCACACTGTTCCTGTGATATGGTGTGACAATGTTAGTGATTGAGCACTTGCATCCAAGCCTGTGTTTCATGCTAGAACGAAACACATTGAGATTGATGCTCATTACATTCGCGAACAAGTTTTGGCAAAGAAAGTAGCTATTCAATATGTTCCTTCCAACTTACAGATTGCTGATCTTCTTACTAAGACATTGTCAGTTGCTCATTTTAATGAGTTAAGGTTCAAACTGAATGTGGTATCCCTTGATGATAGCTGCAAATCAGTATGAGGAGTTACTTATAACTCACTTTGGAAGTAAAGAATTAGAGTGTGCTGCTGTGTTGAGAGTTTGGCAGTGTAGGATCAGAATATGTTTTTGAATTTTGGCCAACTGATATTTTAAAAGTTGTGCTATTGTGTTGAAAGTTTGGCAGTGCAGAATGTGTTATGAATTTGGCAAACTGATATTTTAGAAGTTATGCTGCTGTGTTGAGAGTTTTGGCAGTGCAGAATGTGTTATGAATTTTGCAAACTGATATTTGAGAAGTTATGTTGCTGTGTTGGGAGTTTGGCAGTGCAGGATCAGAATGTGTTGAGAATGTGTTGTGTTTTTTTTTTTGGCAAGCTGTATCAAGTGTTGAGCTGTTGTATTGTGTATCTACTATGTATCAAGAGTTAGCAATTCTGATTAGAGTTGTGGATTTTTAATCAGAATTGAGCTATGAGTTGTGTATCAGCCACGAGCTTCTGCATTTGCATGAGACGAGCAGCTTGTAGCAACCAGTTCACCACGAGCTGCTGCATTTGCATGAGACGAGCTACTTGTAGCAACCAGTTCGTCATGAGCTGTTTGTTCTGATCGTCTCTCTGCTTGATTGTGAATTAAAGTTGACAGTGAAAAGTCAGAACTAAACCTAGGAATGAAGATCCTAAACCAGATTTGGTTTGAGGGGAGATGTTGATATAAGAGGATGAAAACCAACAGAGTTAACTAGATAATTCCCTGGATACGAAAATTCAGAAACAACATAGTTATTTGAGCTGGAACGTACTAAAGCTGAATGATCATGAAAACCAAGAAAGGAAGTGCTCGGAAATTGAACAGGATTTGGTTTGAAGTTGGTTGCAATTAGAGCTTGAACTGATTCAGTTGATCCTTCATTAGTAAAACTGTTAACTGGAGCAGATTGTGGCTGTTGTGGTTGTTGATTATATGAGGGTTGGTGACTATAAAAGGAGCCATTAAAGCCCTGATATTCTTGATCAAAATGGTGGTAACATTGCAATGTAGAGTGGTCTGTCTTTCCACAAACTTGACACATTAACTTTGGTTTGAAGTATCCTCGGCCTCTACCTCTGCCTCTCATCATGTTACTGTTAAACTGTGACGTTCCACCAGGAAAACTCTGAGTATGAACAAATGGTCTGAAATTCAACCCTTGATACCCTTGAAATTCATTGCTTCCAAACACACCTCGCCCTTGATAACCACTGCTTATAGGAGTACCACTATTCTCTGCAAAATGAGTTAAGCTTGGAATAGAGACACCAGTAGGTAAATAATGTTGCGCACCAGTGTCTGGATTGAGAGACTGTGGTATAGTAGGTGTTGCTTTAGTAGCAGTATTCAGAAATTGTGTCGTAGCTGGATTAAGAGCATCACGTTGTCTGGTAGCCAACAAAGCAGATGTTAAATGTTCATGAAAATGCGTCATAGAAAAACTTTGACGTTCCAATCTCATCTCATGCTTATGAAGCATAAACAGAGCTTCTTGAATACTTGTTGCACTATTATTATATGTCAAACTAGCAAAAACCGCATCATATTCAGGACCAAGACCGTCTAAAATATACAAGAGTAACTCTTCTTCCCCAAGATTTACTCCATTGGCAACTAATTCATCTCCAATCTCCTTCATTTTGAGAACATATTCATTCACACTTAAATCATTCTTTTTAGTGCTTTGTAACATATTCCGTAAATGTAATGTTCTAGCTTTTGAAAAAGACTCGAAATGTAGCTCTAAAGTATTCCAAATTTCATATGAACTCACACATTTTGCTACATGCCTGAACATGGATTCAGATATTAAAGAAAACAACCAACTAACTAAAGATTGATCTAGTCTTTTCCAATTAAAATACTTAAGGTTTGGTTTCTTTACTACTTCCTCTGAATCAACAGATTTTTCAACAAGAAACATAGGTGGACAGATACTCTCACCAGTGATGAAGCCATCAAGACCATGAGATACAAGAGCAGGAAAGATCTGTGACCTCCAGTAGGCATAATTCTTTTCCAGAAGCTTAACTGAAAGTGTGGGAAGTGAAGGATGGGCAAACAGACTGTTTGCGTTTGCATTTCCAGTTTGCTCACCTTTTGATTTCGAAGCAAGATTGGGTAACTCAGGATTGGTTTGAGCCATTTTGACGTGTGTCTACAACTCTGATACTATAAAGATTATTGATGAAAAACCAGAAAAAGGAACAAAGAGAGAAATCAGAGAAAACACGTGATACCAAAAAGCTTGAAAAAGTGAAATGTATTTTTGCATGAAGAGTTAGTTACATGTCAGTACAGCTGTTATTATTAACAGATCAAAACGCACATATAGGAACCTTTTAATATGTACAAACAACACCCCACTCTATTATACTTAATAAGAAGAATGTTGAGATAGTTTTAGCTTTTTGTTAATGATTCTTCTTCCAAATTCGTTTTTACCTTCTCTCTAAACTCTTTCGCTTATTGCTCTTCTTCTTTTATTTTTTTATTTTTTTAAAGACAAAAGGTATTTTTTCTTGTAATATTTGACAAGAGACTTTACTAGTAACACAGCTATTATAAATATTGTACTTGATTAAAGCTACAAATGACACCTTTACGACACCCACATTGAGCAGGTCTGCATTGTATCACAATCAATTTTTTGAGGATGAGAGAAAATAAAAATCTATTTCAAATGTAATTTTTAAAATAGAATGGTTGATAAACAATGGTTTAAATTTATAAAGAAAAATTTCTCTCTATCAATAGAAAACACATCTATAGTAATTATGTATCGAATAATTCACTATATTAACATAATAAAGTAGTAAAATATCCCATATAAATTTTATAATATCAAAATAAGTTTGACCAAACCATCACTGGTTGACTTGCTGGTAAAAAAGCCAAGGATCTAAGTTTATTTGGTCTTTCAAGTTCAGTACAGGGATAACCATTAGAGTTTTATCTGATCGTAGTTTCTGAGTCCTCAAGGGATTAGTTGAGGACAAATCATAAAAAAATAAGAAAATAAAAAAGTAAGTTCCGTTGGAAAGATGAAGAGATGTCAAACAGTAATGTGGCTCCTAAGTCTTTGATAGGGTTGAGGGCGGCTTGGGAGGGAAGGGTTGAGGCTTTTAATTAATTCCATCGTTTCCTTCCATCTAAGTTATTTAAGTTGAAGATAAAGAATCTCCACACGAAAGGTAATTTCCTCGTCTTCACCTGGTTCGATGCTTTAACTTTACGCAACAAAAACCAATTCGGTGGCCATCTTCATCTTCTGATAGTGTTGACCGCACCTTTGGTGAGAGGGATTCTTATACAAAGAAATTGATGCATGCAAAGATGTAAAACAGCAATGTGACTCCTAAGTCTTGATAGGGTAGCAGGGCGGGGAGGTTTTAATTAATTCCTATCCCTGACCCCTATCATCTTAGATTTTGACTCTCATTCTTCCTTCCATTCCTCATAAATTGACGATTAGAATAGAATCCGGACACGGGAGGTAATTTCAACTTCCCGTTTTCCATTAAAAATGAGAAATCGTTTGAAAATAATAAAATTATCAAGATAATTTTGCTTAATACAATAAAACTTTTTATAGTGATACTCTATTCGGAATAACCTCTATATAATCATAAAAAAAATATCCCAACTTGGGATAATTATAAATCAGATAAAGTTCACATTGTAATAAGTTAATTTTTCTAAATCTCACTTACAAAAATTACTTCACCATAGTAATATTATATGTATATTGCAAAAATATATATGTTATATTAGAATAAAGGTTTAGATAAAAAAAATATTTATCTAAAGTGTTTGGGACAATGATTTATACTTTAGAGTTATTTCACATCTTTTAACTTACGAGTATATATAACTCATTAACATAGACATCTATTATGAAGCTAAATATTTCTACCTTCTCAAGCATGTTTAGAGCTTCTTGGTACGAACTTTTGTAATTTCGTACATCATCTCAGGATTATCTCCTTTCTTCTGTCTATGCAGCAATGAATACTGAAACAATGAATTGAATCCTAATAATACTACTAAAATGAGAATTATAAAATAAGAAATGAAAACAATATTTGTAATTACACCTATTAAATTATAATCTCCTTATAGTAATAAATTGATTGATCCCACCATTATGATTATAGAGGAGTTTTACTGTATGTCAATTAGAATTCACCATCAGCAGCTTGTAATATTAATGTTCTAAATAAACACTATCATATATTGAAATTATAAATAATGTGCCATAACATATTTCTTTCCAAACATATGTACGACCAGGGGTACTCAGGCCAGTTTACGCGTACTTCAACTGATTTTCGGGACCACCATGGGTAAAAGCTCTAGAATCCACCCTATTAGCAACCGTGGGAACTTGGACTCGATAGACTACGTTAATCCTACTCTTGCTTTTACCCTAAAAGAGACTCGAACTTGAGAGATTATGTTAGATCCTCTCTGGGAGACCAGTTAGATATCTCTCAATACCTTTTAAGAAAGAAAAAAAACTTCATTCTTATAAAACGTTAAACAAAAATATTAGAATTTCAATTTATTATCATTATCTTACATTAAAGTGAATATTTTATTGAAAAACCTAATCCATATCTTAAAAATTTGCGCCGTGACTATGTTAAAAGAACATATATCGAATAGTTAATGTTAATCTATTTTGTTATATATTCAATAAAAATAAAAACAAAAATTCTACACAAGTAGAGGAATGGAACAGATTACAAACTTGGAACATTTTGTCATCAAATATCTATTTGCAATGTCTTTAGCTCTTAAAGCATTAAGAATTGAAGTAAATATGTCATCTCCTATCGTCACCCAATCAAATGTTATCAAATATAATAATTTTTATTGGAGAAGCGGTCTTTATTAATCTGAAATTTATGATAAAAGGGTGCATTCTTTTACCTGGGTTCGGAAACGAAACTCGGTAACTATTTCAATGTCTAATAATTCTGGAAAAGAGAAACGTTCAGCGCACA